GGGAGCCGATCCTGTTGCTTGTCACGTTGTATATGGGGTTTATTTATGGGTTTTTGTATCTGTGTTTTGAGGCGTATCCGGTGGCGTTTCAGGAGTTGAGGGGGTGGAATGAGGGGGTTGGGGCACTGCCGTTTATTTCCATTGCCGTTGGGGTTGTGTTTGGGTGTTGTGTTATTGTGATTTTTACCAAGACGAGGTTTCAGAGGGTGTTGGAACGGGAGGGCCATGTTGTTCCGGAGGAGAGGTTGATTCCTATGATGATTGGGGGGGTGTTGTTGCCTGCCGGCATGTTTTGGTTTGGTTGGACGAGTAATCCGGGGATTACTTGGGTGCCGCAGGTCATTGCTGGGGGGTTTTTGGGGGCGGGGATACTGTTGATTTTTATGCAGGTATGTCTTCTTTTTCCTTTGGGTGTGGTGTGGTGTGATGCTGATGATGATGGTATAGGGGCTGAATTATATCATTGATTGCTACAACATCAATGCCAACTCGGCTATTGCGGCAAACTGCTTCTTTCGGTCGGGGCTGGGGGCGGGATTTCCGATGTTTGCTATTCCGATGGTGAGTTTTTCCTCTTGTCTATAGCTTTGTGGGTTTTTTTTTGGTAAACGAGACATGCTGATGGATGATGCAGTTCCATAATCTGGGCGTGCCGTGGGCTATGACCCTGCTGGGATGTTTGACGGCTATATTGTTCCCCGTGCCGATTCTGTTCTATATCTATGGAAGTAGGATTCGGTCGTGGAGTAAATTTGCGCCGACTGATTAGGACTGATGCTGTGGTAAGAGGAAGGCGAGTTTATGATGGAATATGATATATTATATTTGTAATAGGTAGTTAGATCTATTCATTTCGATGTCCATGAAGCACTGCAATTTATCCGAAAGATACTTTACACATCAAAAAAAGACACTCATATAACAAACAGTCCATTCAAACATGACCCAATCCGGTCAGTCCTCATAGTGACACAGTAGAGACATCCTCAGTCCAAGTCCCCATCTAACAATCAACACTAACAGACGCGAATGGAATACCAATACATCCCTGCACATCTCCCGCAAAGTTCGCCGAACTTCCCTGACAGTTATCCCCAGACCAGGTGGTGATCTTGCACTTGCTGTCGGCGGTACCGACGTTGAAAGACGCCCCGGGAAGGCTCACAAAGCAGGATTCTCCAGACCCAATGATGGCAGGGTTGGCGGAGGAACCTTCACAGTTGTTGCCGGACCAGGTGGTGATTGTGATGCTTTCGCTGCGGGCTGAGAGGGGAGTGGATTCAGCGGTGGTGGTGAGGGCCAGGACGCCCATGGCGGCGAGAGGGAGGAAGTGGTGGAGTTGCATTTTGCTTTGTTTGGTAGGATTTCTTTTTGAAAGAAAGATGTGAGGATGGATAAGTGGTTTGTTTGTGAGGTAATGAAGTATGTAGATGATTGAGAGAGAGAGAAGCTGAGCTGGATTGTTGTCGAGATGAGGAGCAAAGAAGACCGACTTTATACCTTCTTCTTCGACATTCCGCCCCATTCAGATACTTCTCTTTTTCCTACACTCAGGGCAGTGCAAGGCCGAACATACCCGTCTATCCCAGGCAGAGTCATCGTGAACCCATTATGATGGCTCATTTCACGCTTCAGTTGGATTCTTGGCCCTTCGAGGTGTAGATCTGTGATCATTTCTATATTGAGTATGCTGATCTGTGAGAAGTGGAGTTTTGGCCCCAGTAGGGTACCTGAGGGGAAAAGATATTCGGGCCCTTGCAGATCGGATGGAAGGCCTTAAGCTTTGGCCCCATGGAGCTTACTTGCCGTTCACTGTGTAGGAGGCTGATGTATTCAGAATAGATTCGAGTTACAAGGGGGTGTAATATGCTCGCTACTCTTTTGTGCTCTCATTCCTAGGTGATGTTGTTTGTTTCACTGTTGTGTTGCCTAAGTGCGCATTAGTCGAAGAGACTATCGATTATCTCAATTGACCGGTGGTACTGTCTCAAAATGCACGTTGTATCCGTATACCATAACAGAATAAATCCGCTTGATCATCAATAATCATGATCAGGGTGTAAGATAATCAAACTAAGCATGACACAAAAAGTACAATTGTTAGAAGGGGCTATACATAAGGACCGCGCTAGTCAAAATTGGGCATGTGAGTTGCGACGGGTTCAGATATTAGCGTGACAGAGTCAAACTGGGGCTGGATAAACAGCTCAGACGGGTTCAGAGAAACCTTGACCCTGAATGAGCTTATGCACATGATTTAATATTATCTCTTGTTGAGGCAACTGCCGGAGTAGGCATAGTCACATGCCTGGTACTCAGGCTGTCTATAATTCATCTCTTGTTTTATTTTACTAGGATACCTAAATAAGCACTAATTCAACTCATTCGTTCGCTTGCTTCTTTGTTATTTTATTGCTTTGCTAGTAATCACACTCCTCAACAATAGATGTTCCAAAATATTGGAATTGGTGTTCAAAAACCTTTATTTTGTATAGAAATCAGAATGTCGATACGCTTGCCGCTTACATTAGCTGCTGAGTAAGAGCAGCCAAAAGCGGGGTAGGATTCAATCAGTCAGTCAGTCAGTCCGTACAATAAACCGATCAGATCCTCGATTTTGTTAAAACATCGTATTTGTTCTTATGGATATCGTTGCGTCTCTCTATCCCGCTCTCTCAGAGCGCAAACCCCTTCCCACCTATTACACGCCTGGCTGTCTCGGTCTCTCCCTGGTACCTTTTCTAGTAGAAAACAAAGGCTTCTCAGCCTTCTCCACTTGGCCCTTCTTGCTCTACTTATGCGCCAGCTGGCCGTGCTTCACTACTGGTGATCCCTCTTCAGATTACTACAATAACAGCCATTTCATTGCCTTTCCGCTGTGGTACCTTGACTTTGTTTTCCTGACGCCAAGAGACGGCAAGGACGCGCCTGCGTTCATTGGCCGCCAACTTACAGATGAAGAGTGTGGGGATGAGGGGGGCGTTATTACTGCCCAGGGCCAGTGCTGGAAGGATTTAACGACGTTCTCACAGCGTGTGAAGTGGGCATTCAGGCTGATGCTGCCCGTGCATAGGGGAATTGGATGGAATTGGCAGGTGAAAGGTGTTCCTGCGGATCCGCATGCAAAGCTGCCAAGGTGGCAGTACGTGGGCTGGCAAATGTGGTGGGTGGTGTTCTACTACGTGCAATCTATGGGGACGTTAGCCGGACTGGGTCTAGGCTGTGCCTTAAGAGCGCAAATTAGATCAGATGAGCTACTCAAGACAGTTGTCGTCAATGCTATCGTGGGATGGTCGGGTGCGGTGTGGATATGGGATAGGCTGAATTGCGCATATCGACTTGCGGCTGCCCTGGGTGTTGCGACAGGAGCGACGGAAACTTGGGAATGGCCGCCTCTCATGGGGCCATTGAAAGACGCATGGAGCGTGAGGCAGATGTGGAGGTATGTGCCACAACCTACATAATGAGGCCATTAAAATGCTATGCTTACTTACACATATGCAGTGCAACATATCACCAGGTATGCCGCAGGGTGAGTAGAATCCCAAGACAACTGCATTCCAAGAGATGCTCATGCTAACAGAACATGTAGCTGCTATCGCAACCATCAAAACGTCTTGTTCGTTTCCTACGTCTCCGCAAGGGTGGTCTAGCATCTAGCTACAGCCAATTGTTCATCTCGTTTGGGATAAGCTGCCTTTTTCACCAGGCCCAGATGTTCAATGTCACTCGCCGCGACATGGGCGAGCTGGCCTTCTTCATGTCGCAGCCTTTGGCCATCGTAGTGGAGGACCTGGTGCGCTGGGCATGGAAGAAATCTGGCATCTCTGGAAAGAGCATATATTTTGAGAAGGTGGTCGGGTATAGCTGGACCTTTGTCTGGTTCTCGATGAGCCTACACTTATACATAAGTGGACTTGTGCAGGCGCGTGTTATGAAAGACTGGCTGTTTGGATATACACCTTTAGAGATTGGTGCTGATGCTAGACAGCAGCTACTTATGTGGTTACGTGTATAAGCTGAGTGGTGTGGGCGCTAGGGCATGCTGTGAGAGACTTCTACCCATTTCTCATCAGCCTTCGGTATATAATATTAACTTTTTTAAATTTACTAATTCTTATAACTAGACAGCCTTTATTCGGAGATAATTAATTATTAGAGTTTTTAGATATTTAAATAATTAATAAATCTTATTAAATACTTTTTTTTATAATAAAACTGGTGAGACTCTAACATCTATCATCTTTGCTAATAATCTCTGGTATACTAAATATCTCAGTCATTGCAAAAGACAATAAGGAGGAAAACCCGCGAGCATCCTAAAGGCCCCAAAAACAATAGAGAGAGCAGCTGATTCGGGTTCAGAAAGTGTCAGAAGAGGTTATTCAGTGTCAGAACTAACATAGTCTGATACTAAACCATCTTTTCACGTGATTAAGATCATCCAGTATCAGAAATTTCCTGATACTCTCGCACTAATTTGAAGTCGCCGCGAGTTGGACCCCCGCGAGTGAGACTCCTTCAGAGACGTCCCTGATCCAGACTCTAAGACACAGGATGAGCTTGGTATATGATTATCCTCGATACTAATTAAGCTCTGTGATATTTATGTCATCATATATTACAAATTAAATAAGATAACAAACCAAATTCCAGTAGCCTGATACTATGATAGTCACAACACTGAAAAAAATTTCGGTTATTATACGATTGAAATGTGAGTTTACAACCAGAAAAACTGATTTGGGTTCATGTCAGTCTAACTGAAGCAGTTAAATCACGTGGACGAGCTCATTCAGTATCAGAATATCTCTGAACCAGCCGCACTAAATCCTGAACCCGCCGCAGCTTGGACCCCTCAAACTTACCCTCTCCTGCATACACTGCTTGGTAAGCAACAGCAGGCCCTGGAAATAACCAGTAGATTAATTTACGTTAAAGAAAGCAACATCCATAACACAGAAAATAAGCACTAACACCTTCAAACATCATCCCATCCACCAATTACCCTCATAGACATGACGCCATCTGACAAATGTCTGATTTATCAGCAATAGCTAGTTACCCTATATTCCCTTCATGTATAGCTTCAACAACACTACAACAATTACAATCACATAAATAAACCCCTCATCCCCACTCAGTCTGACTCCAACCACATCTACACCCACATTCACACTCAACCTCCGCCTTCAAGAAAAAGAAGAAAATAATGCCCCTTAACTACCTCCTAACCGGCAGCACGGGCGGCCTCGGCTCCCTCGTCCTGGACTACTTTACCAGCAACTTTCCCCCGACACAAAAAGAAACCACGCACGGCGTATCATACGCCGCGTCCTCCTCCAACCCATCCAACAGTGACCGCTTCACCTCAAAAGGCATCCCCTTCCGCACCGTCAACTACGACGATCCATCGACGCTCGACGTCGCCTTCAAAGACGTAGAGAACCTGTTCTTCGTGAGTACGAACACATTCGACGTCGAGAAGCGCCGAAGACAGCATTTGAATGTCGTGGAGGCGGCGAAGAGGAATGGTGTTAAGCATGTACGTTCATCCCCAAGGCCTTATTTCCAGGCAAGATGGATGGAATAGTAATGCTAATGGTGTGATAGGTATGGTACACCTCTCTCGCGTTCGGAGGCCTCGGGTCCGATTCCAAGGCTGCGGTGCAGCAGGCGCATTATATGACGGAGGATATGTTGAAAGAGTATGTTCCCTCCCCTCCCTCCCTTATTATGATTGGTTTCAGTGGTATTGATGGTTGATTGGTAGATCTGGGGTGAATTACACCTCCATCCGCGAAGGAATCTACACCGAAGCCTTCCCACTCTTCATCAACTGGTATCCCCAATCGACGACGCTCTATCTGCCCTCTTCGTCGGGGAAGATTGCGTTCACACTCCGGTCGGAGTTGGCGGAGGCAACGGCGAAGTTGATGTTGAAGGGTGGTCATGATAGAGAGATCGTGTTGTTGACTGCGTCAGAGCCGGTTTCTGTGCAGGATATAGTGGACGTTATTAATGAGACGACTGATCGAGAGGTGAAGATCGAGGTAGTCGATCCGGAGACGTATGTACAGGTCAACGCGGAGAATGATATTGGGGGCAAAGCGGAGGGGTTCTTCCGGCAGTTGGTGGGGTGGTTTGAGAGTATTGAGAATGGCGAGGCTGGGTTTACGGATGGGTTGATGGGGGAGGTGTTGGGGAGGGAGCCGGTGACGCCGAGGGAGGCGGTTAGGGCGTTGTTGGAAGGGGAGAGGGATTATACGTGGCATCAGAATTATAGCAAGTAGTCAGTCTTTTGTATTGGTATTGTATATAATGAGGTGGCTAAGTTGGTAATGAATGCTTTTAATATATGTGGTGATATCAGAATCACACGCGGTTGTCTTCCTCTCGATCGTGTTGGGGATACCCTGTGTGCGTGTCGCGATACACGGTCGCTTCTCCGTCACCCTCTTTCTCTATGACATCTTCCTCGTCGGCTCCCCAGGTTGCTTCGCGCATGAATGGACTGCGGCGTCGGATCTCGGGTCCTTTCCATACTAGTACTACTGGCACAACTGATAGTGCTAGCCCAATGAATCCTAGTAATGACCCGGCCCAGCCGTACCCCAGGTTCTCGAATAGCTCGTAACTCGCCAGCGGCAGGAACGCGCCAAAGGAGTTTCGTCCTAGAGATGCCGCAGACAGAGCTGATGCAGCGTACTTCTCGTACGCATCTGTCAAGTAATTGACCACTGCCATGTAAATACTGTAGATGCCAATACCGGTGCACCCGATGCCGAGAGTTGGTACGATCCAAGGCACAGAAGGAGTACTGGACCAGCCATACCAGAACAGCCCGCCTGCAAACATCAAGCTGCCAATGATACTAGTATACAACCGTGCCTCCGGAATAGGTTTTCCCGGCTTCTCTTTGTTGCGTCTCGCCGACTTCAGATACAGGATGTCCTGTAGAGGATTGACGAGAGTGCCGATCAGCGCACCCACGGAGATCGCCAGCTGAATGGTCCCAGTTTGCAAAGTATTCATGCCGTAGTTGGCGGAGAAGGTCTGGACAACGCTGCTGAAGAAGAGATACAGGATGCCCCAGGCAAAGGAGATCCAGAGAGTGAAGAAGGCAACGACAGGCTCGGTGAGGAGCATGCGTGTAGGCCGTTCGAAGGAGATCTGCATCAGACGCCATACGCTGGTGTTGTCTAGCTCAGCTTCAGCGTAGATGGGGCGTTGCTTTTCTTTGCGGAGCTTCTTGGCCCGACGGACGAGGATCACGTCTGCGCGGGTTTCATACAGGATGAACCAGAAGATAGGAAGAAGACCCGTTAGGTAAATGATTTGAATGTAGAAGATCCAGCGCCACGGAGCAGTTTTGTGGATGGCTACGATGGCGGATCCGATGAATGGTCCCAGGGCAATTCCAACCACACTGGTAAATCCGAAGAGCGACATGGGGAGACTCCGCGCTTTGTCTCCGTACCAGACATCGCTGATGCTACCGCCGACGATGTTGATGGATACGGAGGAAGCACCACCGCCGAAGAACCGCGTTACTACGAGAGTGGCGTAGTTTTGGGCGAAGGCGGAGGGGAACAGCGAGATGATGAGGATGATGTAGGCGACAAAATAGCCGGGCATGCGACCGGAGGATTCAGTCAGGGGCACGAATATGAGAGGCCAAAAGGCCGCTCCCATGTTCCAAGATGTTGTGGCCCAGTAAAGGTTTGGAAATGGCGTGTTTTGGACGTGGAACCGTTCTTCCATCCAGTTGTTGCCGGAGCCGTATGAGCCGGCCGGGATACCAGTGAGGATGGAGCTATACCTGTTAGCATTGCACATTTGAAAACAAGGCTAATAGGACATACATGAAACACACTGTAACCGTGAGAAGCCATTTGTAGGATGTGCTCCAATTGAACCTGGTTCTGTTAGACTAGTGTCATAACAACTGCATACTTGACGCACGGATTGTCCGGATCATCCTTGCCATTCCAAGTATGGATCTCAAGGTCCTCCTTGTCACGCAGATCATTGTGGCTGACTACCCCAACATGGGGGTCCCGGCGAAAGAACGATCGTACCCTGCAACGTCAGATTAGTGGCTGTATGGACAGGGATCGCTTGGCAATGATTGGCAGACTAACCGTCCCAGAAACGAATCATCGAAATCATTGGTGTGCACCGTGCTAGCGCGGCGCAGCGACGGGCGTCTCTCCTCAACAGGGGTGGACATGACTATCTCTAGATGATTCCTCGCAAGGTATTTGCTTGACAGATGCAGAGATGAAGTTGAGTAAAATAGGGTGCAGAGACCCTGCAGAACCTGCATCGGCCGGCGGCAACATGTCGTCATGACCGACCCGGCCCGAGCAACGTCCATGAAACTCGGAACAACCAGGGGAATCCGACTCTTTGAGTGGTCAATCCATGTCTATCCACATCTGCGTAGGAGTGGATGAAAGGTGGAGGAGAGCTGATTGCCAAATTCTGTTAGGGCTTGGAATGAAGCAACCGGTTTCGGTCATGACATCATCACAGCTATGACTTCATCACCTCCGAACGAGCATATATAGTTGTCCCTGTCGTCGTATCTCGACAACATCAACAACAACAATCATCTACTGCATTTATCAAAGTCATTTTTACCTCAATCAACATGCCTATCCCCGTTCCCTCCGCCTCCAGCGTCCACGACCTCTTCAGCCTGAAGGGCAAGGTCGTCGTTATTACCGGCGCTTCCGGCCCTCGCGGCATGGGCATTGAAGCCGCACGTGGCTGCGCCGAGATGGGCGCCAACATCGCCCTCACCTACTCTTCTCGTCCTCAGGGTGGTGAGAAGAACGCCGAAGAACTTCGCAACACCTACGGTGTCAAGGCCAAGGCCTACCAGTGCAACGTCGGCGACTGGAACAGCGTCAAGAAGCTCGTGGACGACGTGCTGGCCGAATTTGGCCAAATTGACGCCTTCATTGCCAACGCTGGCAAGACGGCCAGCAGTGGTATCCTCGATGGCTCCGTTGAGGACTGGGAAGAAGTCATCCAGACCGATCTGACGGGTACCTTCCACTGCGCCAAGGCGGTGGGTCCGCACTTCAAGCAGCGCGGAACCGGCAGCTTCATCATCACCTCTAGCATGTCCGGTCACATTGCGAACTTCCCACAGGAGCAGACTTCGTACAACGTTGCCAAGGCAGGCTGCATCCACATGGCCCGGTCATTGGCCAACGAGTGGAGGGACTTTGCCCGCGTGAACAGCATCTCCCCGGGTTACATCGACACAGGATTGTCAGACTTTGTGGAGAAGAAGACTCAGGATCTGTGGATGTCCATGATTCCCATGGGACGAAACGGTGATGCCAAGGAGCTGAAGGGTGCATACGTCTATCTCGCCAGTGATGCCAGCACATACACGACGGGTGCCGATTTGATCATTGACGGAGGATACACCGTGCGGTAAATTGACCGCGGTCGGGGAGAAAAATAATGTTTATGACATGTATGTAATGAATATAAATGTTCAATTGTATCAATTGCTTGGGTTTCTTGTGTATCTTTTCGTATGGCTCGAAACAACCTGGAATGGCTGGGCAGGGTGGTGTAGCTCTCGGTTTATGGATACAACTGCGTCAGTGTGGATCTTTGGCTCGGACTCGGAGGGGCTGTGGGGTTCCAAGAACAAACAGCCACTCGTCTCTGCGGATCTCCACGGAACGCCAATCTCCCTGAAGATTCAGTCTGGGCCTGGTCTCACACTGATTTGGTGAGGGGATTCTGCATCCGTTCGAACCTTATAATCTGAGACGAGCTCCGGAAAGCCTAGAGCTTTACGCTGTGGCTGGTTCTTTGTTTCTCCCCGGAGCATCCCAACCATGTTCATTACCATCTCACACTGCCACATGCACAGCCAAGATAAACGGATCGGGAGGAGACATGGTAGGGAATGGTGAAGGTGACATGGAACTGAAGTTGAAGATGGCGAAGTTGAAGTCCAAACCCGTCAAACAGAAACAAACTGAGCAACACCACATCCGGTCAGGTGACAATATCTACAGTGAACAATAGCTCGAGAGAAGCAAGGGATGCGTACAAAACATGTCCAATTTAACTAACTTCAAAAGCTATGTGATCTTCAATCAAGCATGTCATAATCATCAGTCATTACCGTCAACTCTTGCCCACCTTCGCATCGGCCACCTCCTCTGGATCATCCACCACCTCTGCCAGATGCATCCGCGGCAACGTTCTTGCCAGTCGCGGTGGGTCAAACACGCTCTTCGACTGCAGGAAGATTTCGTCAATCTCCTCCAGCGACCGACCATTCGTCTCTGGGAAGAAGAAGTACACGGTCGGCACGATCACTGCGTTCAACACCGCGAAGATGATGTAGTATTGGTATCCGATCGTATCGAAGCCCACCGGGGTCACTTCAGCTAGGAGGAAGTTGAAGGTCCACACGGCAGCTGTTGAAACTGCACTGATGGCCGCTCGCAGCTGCAGTGGTGCGACCTCCGTCGCGTAGAGAAAGGTTAGCCCCGAGTATCCCACGGTGAAGATGAACTCGAACACGAAAAGGAACACCACCGCTACGACCAGCGCTGCGGTATCATCGGATCGGGACGTTGTTCCGGCTAGGATAGCCATCGAGGCGGACATGCCCACAGCACTCCACAGCATCAGAACTCGCCGACCGAGCCGATCAATTGTGAAGAAAGCGAGAAATCCGCCCAGTGGCTGAGTGAGGCACATGGCAGCAGCCAGAATACGTGATGGTATGGCATCCAGGCCTAGATATTGTTGGAAAATGGTAGTCGCGTAGAATGTGATGAGATTGATTCCGCACATCTGCTGGAACATCTGGCCTGCCGCAGCCAGCACCGTCCGATGGAAGAGTCGCTGTTCGCCCATGCTCAGCATGTCCTTCCACGATCCAGATCCCGAGAGTGCCAGCGACCGTTCAATGTCGCGCATAGCCAGGGTGATGCTTTCGTCGTTGGGGTCGACATCTGCCAGCGCAGTCAGGATTTCACGGGCCTCCTCGGTACGATTCCGCTTTATCAGCCACCGGGGTGACTCTGGGAAGAATATGATGAAGGCCATCACCATCAGCGACAGGACGATCTGGAAGGCGAGCGGGAACCGCCACGACACGGAGTTACCCGTGACGAAGTAGAATCCGAAGTCAATCCACAGCGATATGGTAATGCCCGCCCCAATGAAGATACCATCTGTCACCACATGGGCGCCACGCTTGCCCGCCTGCGAGATCTCGGCCTGCCACACAGGCACGGTTGCAACATAACCGCCCGTTCCCAGTCCAAGTACAACGCGTGCCACGATGAATTGAGCCAGTCCGAAAGAAGTGGCCATCAGCAAGGCCCCGATTATAGATATGGCCGAGGTGATAAAGATCACCTTTTTCCGGCCGAGGAGATCGCCGAGGTAGATGCATGATAGTGATCCGAATATGCCGCCGACGGTGTACAGAGCGACCACTGTACCTGTGGAATGTTAGCCTGGGAGGCATGTATGAGTGGCGAGCAGAGTGCCTACCCTGAATGGTGGAGTTGTAGTGCTGCTGGGCCCCAGTGGTGGTCAAGGTGTTCATCTGGGGAAACGTCTCCGCAAACGACTCCAGCGTGAGGAGACCCCCTGTCACTCCCTGGTTGTATCCATAGCACACAAAGGCTGGGCAGACGACCAGCCAGATGATGGCGCGATTCAAAAGAGCGCCGCGTAGGCCGAAGTATGGTTGCATGGCTAAGACATGCAGTAGAAGATTCTATGCAACGATCGCGACATCAGCCAGGATGTCCCCGCATGTAGTGATCAATTAGACTTGGCTCACGCCGTTGAACCCTGGTCTCCGGTGCGGACATTTTATAAAAAGGCGTCCAAGCATTTGCATATGGGTCGGCCATCGGCGGCGCCCGTCTGTCGCGTGGACTAGAGCATTTCGGACTAGAATAGGATTCCTGTAACCGAAGCAGTGCCAAAGTCAAAGGATCGCAAGAGAACAGGCATCGATCGCCAAGCTGGCAGGCGTGTGTCTTCCCCGCTGGACAATTTGAGATCGTCGTTGGACTTTTCTCCACCTGCCGGCTGCCCTTCCATCGGATCCGGCCGATGGGGTTGTTGGACCTCGGGTCAATAGCCAGTCGGGAGTCACTGGGCCGCCAAGACACCCCCAGAAGCCTCATTGAATTTGGTAATTGCCAGCGTGGGAGATAAATAGATAAAGAGAAGCTGGTGGTGCCCCATAATTGAGATAACAATGCTTTTGATGTTGCTGTTGTCCGATATCGCAAGAGAGAGCTGGGGGTGAAGCAGCTAGGAGCATCCCGATCGTGTCTAATTAGGCGATGTAAGCAGAACGCAACTCATATCTCAATCAGTAACGGTGCAGCATGTTTGCCAATCATCCCAAATTCGTGACAGCGAAGCTTAGGCAATTGCAGCCCACGTCTGGCTTGGCCAACGCAATTTGCATTGAGATCTGCGAACGGCACGGATACGATGCCCTGTTCAAACCAGTTAGCTGCTTTTCGACCACTGAGCGTCTGTACGGATGACTGACTGAACCTTCTTTCCCCGACCTCGGCTATTTTGAGAATATCGTCAGGTTCCGACTAGCGTGCATGCCAATCGCCAGGTCCTTTGAGATGTCTGTCTGACATAGGAGGCCAGGATGGGGGTGCCTCGAATTATAAGATATCAGAGGCTGTCTTTATCTTCAGCTTTATATGGCCATTCCGTATCAGTTTGAAGATATGGCTCAGGGCTGTTATTGGTGCTCTGATAACAATTCTGCCTAACGGGATAAGGAATCCTCCGTCCTGTGCAAAGGGCGATACGGGATCGTCAACGGACGGCATGTGTGATAGACATCGCGGAGAAAGTCAATCCCACGCGATTGGTCATGGTTTCGTTACAACTTCGTCTGTCTGGTTGGAATATCTCATGTAGCATATGAGGGGTTATAAATCTTTGGGTCAAGTGACCAAAGTTGAGTCGCCGTCAGCTTAGGTGTGTTGTGCTGGCAGGTTTGATGCCAAGAGTGCGTTCCTGGACCAAAGGAAGTGGGGTAAACGGGGAAGGAAGATAGAGTGTAGAGGTAAATATAAATGGCGTTAAGTCTCATTTATAGTACTTGGTCATGGGATTGCACGCGACCGATGGCATTGCGTCGCGGTCATTCATTGCTTTGCAGCAGTTCATGTGCCAGGAGGCTCTATATCAGTGACCACCAGTCCTGATGTGGTAGTCATCTCCCGACTCTGAGGTATTGACGGCGGTATTCCCATTATAGCATTAGCGGCCTGCAGGCTTAAAAGAATCCCTGGGCACTGGCTTGGGTTTGAGGCTGATTTTCTCTCCGTGGAACTTTTTAGGCAAATACTTCCATCCTGACTTACTTGTCGGTGGCTCGAGAGCACAGCATTTGGAGTAATACGGTGTGTGTGTTAATGGTATGAAAGCCGGATATATATATTAGATTTTAGTAGCGACTATTAAGGAGGACTAAGTTAATATAAGGAGTAGCCCACTTACCTTGGCAATAACGATATGAGTATAATCACAACTAGTAGATTGCAAAGGTGCGAAAGGAGAATACCAATGCAGCTGCTATAGATGACTGGTTTGTTGTCGTATAATGCCGACTCAAGCCTTGAGCAACTATCGACAACTGTGTGGGGAAGGTTTCAAGAACATCCAGGTTGTGCTAAGATATATTGCAAAGGTACAATGCAACATACATCAACTGGGTCCCATAGCTCAGTTGGTTAGAGCGTGACGCTAATAACGTCAAAGTCGAGGGTTCGAGCCCCTCTGGGACCATCTTTTTGCTTTTCAATTTTCCTTCCTGTGTGCCCGAACATCTCTCTCCACCGGCATGCTTGGCACCTGAGTGGGGTAACTGGCTGCAAGAAGCCAAGAACAACTTTTTGTTTATGATGTCATTGCTTTTTGTTTCTGCACTCCAAACCCCTCATACCATGGTAGGCCGCTACAGATTATTCAAATTGTTTCACCTACAATAAATCGCCGACTGTTATCAAAAGAAAAACCTCAAATGATTTATATAGCGCTAACCTGCATAATGTCCATTCTCACTGTTGGAAACCAACCAGCCTTCCAATGAACAGCTGAATCAAATACCGCTAATTTCTTCCTTCACACGCAACTAATATAAACACCATCAAACTAATATTACACACACACACCAACCCCCTTAACCCGAAGCAGTGTAGTAGCCCCTACTTAATATCAATCACCTTCCTCTCCTCTTCCACCTCTCCTCCAACCTTCGGCACCTGAATCGACAGCACCCCATCCGTCAACTTCGCATCCACATGCTCCCGGTCCACCTTGGCCGGGAAACTAAATGAGCGACGGAACTCTCCCATCGTGCGTTCCGAGAACCACCAGTTCCCATCCTCACCCTCCGTGCTGCGCACACTGCGACCTCTAACGTTCATTGTGCTGGGATCAGTGAACTCGATCGTGACGTCTTCTTTCTTGACGCCGGGGAGGTCGCCATCTAGGATGTATGCATCTTTGGTTTCGCGGAGGTCAAAGCGCGGGGAGTTTGCGAATAGGGAATCTGTAGCGGTGGATGTAGTGAGGTAGTTATCTAGGTCTGTGAAGGCGCGCAGGAGGGAGGGGACGGGACGGGGGTGGTGTGGCAGGAGGGACATTGCTCTTGGTGTTGTTGTTTGTAGATTTCGTAGATGGTGGATTGGGTATCTAGTGATGGTTGGGGTTGTTCTGAGTAGGTGGGTGGTTTGTTTGAGCATTGTTGGTGTCTTTGCTGTGATGGTTGTTGCTTGGCGATGAGATGATCTTATATTATTGTATGCAGTGGAACATGGAGGATGGATGGGGTGGTCGGGGGAGATGCTGTCATTTGTACGCGGGTGGCTCGCGCGGGGCCTTTTCGGATAGAAACTCCTAGAGAGAGCATGCGCCTTCCTTTGCTTTCTGAACATGCATCAAGAGATGGGGTCTTGAAGATGGGTCCCAAACTAAGTGGAAATCCGGGGATGCGTGGGGTTGGAAGTCAAGGTGGTCTTGGAGGGTGCCGTTCCATGGGTGGGGTCTACCGCGCCTGGATATCTATGCCGGGTGGCATGATGGTAGGCTTGTGACTGTCGTATCCAGAAGATTCTGGTGCAAGACAGTGATTCAGAGTAAAATTTAGAGCCACAGGACGTAGGGGAAATAGGTATTAGGAACGATGGAGGTACAGCGCCGAACACAGCGTCTCATCAACCAATCCTCATCGCCGCCTCCGCCAAACTCACACTGCCCAATTCCTGATTTCGAATTACACTGACCAGATAGTTCACCCCATAATCTGACGCTGCATGCACTACCACATTCTCGCCAAATCCACAATCCCGTTCCCCCTCTCCGGCCTCCACATACGCCGCATAACTGCCCTTCAGAATGCCATCTTTCTCCGACAACAAGACTCCCTTTGCATACTCCCTTGCTTGCAAGTAATCCGTGAATGTGCCCTGCACTATCACCTCCCGCACTGTACTTTCTCCCTCGATCGCATCGAATTCTACATTGGCCTGCACGACGTAAAATAGCGGGATAGAGATGCGGCCATCGTCGAGATCAGTGGTTAGCTGGAGCTTATTCTGTGTGGTATCGATGCGGACGCGGAAGGTGGTGCCGTCGGGCGCAACAGCGTAAATGGCGAGTCCTGTGCGATCGGGGAGGTTCTCTTGTTCAAAAATGTGGGCGCTAGTTTCATAGGTTGGAAAGAAGTCACGCTCGTAGCCGGCGTCGTAGAGACAGCTGTGCGCCGCGGCTTTGGCGGCGAGTAGACTGGTGTAAGTTCCAGGGATACGGAGGATTTCGACGAGATTGTTGGGGTTCTTATTGAGGCGTGTGATCGTTAAGAGAACGTGATAGATGTGTTCGGGAATTTTGGGAGGCATTATGGGATCTTTGGCGGTTGAGTTGAAGGTGTAGTATTGAGAAAGGATCAAGTCGTTATGGTCGCATTGAGATGTAGGGGCCACAGACGGTCGAAGATCATTCATGGGCCTGTCATGTTTTTAGACTATTCGGCGAGGCCTAGACGTGGCTATAGAAAGTCTAATTAGTGCGGTGCGTATAGCTGCTGATATCGGATATCTTCCTCCATCTGCTTGAGACGAGGATCTTACCATGCGGCCTGACTGTTCTGCATGCTGTAAATGCCCCAACAACAGGCTCCCACTGCATTGAACAGCTGGAAATGAGCGCGTCACTATGACCACCCTGGCTTACTGTCATGATTAGTGGGCTCAGAAACCAAAAGTTTATTTGTGATGCTCCCCTGGAAGCACAAGGCAGAAGGTACCCGGCTGGCTTTATTTCATGGTCGGCCCATGCTCCATCCCAGAAAACTAACCCTCTCCCCCCGCATTTCCTCTTTCCTCTTTCTTCCAACATCCTCGTGAGATTTCTCTGAATTCGGCATTCTTTCGGCCGCAAGACCCATGTCCCCCGGGCCTATTATATTGATGGACCTCCCTATGGAACGATATATCCCTCGCTCTCATCCCCTTGAAGACACCCTAAGCAATTCGTACTATACAGGGTAGAGATTCCAGACGGAGAGCGATCAAGAACAATGGCAGAGCCAGGCGCGGAACAGACTCCATATCCAGAACCAGGAGAACCACCAGTTCCCGACAAAGCTCTTCAACTCCAAATCCTTCTCATCCTGTGTCTGAGCGTGTACATAATCACTGCGATCTGGTATAATTCCAGCTTCTACCTCGCTCCTCCTATCTGATAGAAGCTGTACTAAAATTGGATAACATGGTGCTATAGTCTTCTTCTGAAATCCTACTGTATTGCCTATGGCACTCTCGACTTCACCTCTACGCCTGCCACAACCCCGGACCATACAGCCGCTTGGAACTCACTCCAGCGCCTGAAATCCCTGAACCGCGTCGCGCCCCTCAAGCGCTATGATTCGTGGTATACCTCAACTGTCTGTCATGAACGGAGTCCGTTATTAAGTAGGGATTGGGAAAGTAGCATCTGGTTGGTCCATTCTTCACATTCAATTCCTGACTATAGTTTTGATTGAACGTGACTTTATTTAAGCAGACACTAACTACCATGTCGGCAAATATAGTGCAATATGTCTCGAAACTGTGAACAAAGCAGATGTGATACATGCATTGCCCTGTAAGCATGTCTTTCATCGACAGTGCCTTGAGACCTGGTTTCTCGAGTATCACAATGCGTGTCCCGTTTGCTGGCGGGTGTTTTTCGCTTGAACTTTACCGAGCACTGGCTGTGACCATGAAATTTGCCTGATGGTCTATCCGCAAGGGTGGCTAAGCGGTATCGTGTCATATATTATTGGGCGTGTGCATAGGCATCATGGTGTATTTGCAATTGATTGTAGTAGCTACAGTGGGTCAAGTACTGTATGGAATCAGTCCCAGCATGGAATAAATCTATCATCCATTAGTCGAGTCCAGGTATACTCGTAACTACCTTCAAGACTTAAGTACTAACTACCTCTGCTGAAGAGCCTATGATAGGCAGGCTCACGCAAATGATACTATGTAAGCAGTGTATGCCTTATTTTGGAAAGGCAACGTGACCTTGGCTCTCTTCACCCGCTTTCTCTTTTCTACCCCCTCCGAGAAGTACCGTCATCTCACCAAAGGCGCTCTTTGCTCTCAAAAGTGTCATCCAAATTGTGTTTGATGACTATTTTAGCATCCAGACTCATATGATGAGATGATGGAAGGCGCGGTGCTCGCGTTCTACGCGGACAGCAAATGATTACTGCCAATTTGTGAAGGTTGTAAGTCCGCATGTGCAGTTTGTTTGGCGCTTGTATGGTGGTAAGATTCCTAACTCTTCTTAATGTCCGGACAACCGCTTGTTAAAGCCATTTAAAATAGACCATACTCGTTTCGTTCCTAGGAGGACACTTCGTGCGGATGGAACCACACCCAAGCTGACCTGCCTGACGGACGGCTGCGTTATCTCGATGCCAGGAGGACTTCCTTTTGAGAATGCTCGACATAGCTTGCTCCTGCAACCTGACAGGAGAAGCGATAGAGCGAAGCCGCTAACCGGTGGGCAATTTATGAAGCGACCAATAAACGGGTCAATATAGTTCACCTGCGCTGTAGGGTAATCAAGGGGCGCCGTTTGCCTCTAATGTACCAGCCTCAGACATGATCTTTTTGCGCCAGGGTTACCGTGTACTCTGCCCGAGGAATGGATTCATCGAAGGTATGTTGATATTGCGCTCGATAGTATCACTCAGATATTCAAAATACCATGTTAATATTGCTGCAGGTCGAAAGTCCTGCTCAAGCTGTATCGAAAGACAGAACTTGATTGTGACCTTCCTACAACGAACCACCCCCTATTCACTGCGTGGCCAGTATAGTTCACCGGATTCGCTCACCGTTAGCCAATGGCTTCCTCCTTTCCTGTCTTCTCCTTCCTCTTCTTGACTGGCCCCACTCCAGGTTGCTTATTGCCGGCAAGCTTTCAACCCTGATTAGCGAAGCTTTGCGCACTATTCCTGATCCAGCTGCCGAAGGAACGGATGGAAGCTGCACTAGTTTCATGTCGGATCTCTGATATTAATATTAGGTACAGACTAGCCGATCACGCTCCGGATCTGGCACAGAGTGGTTTTATGAACCATTCATTGGTGGAATTTGCAAGGCACCATAATTGCCGCAGACCCTGCATATCGAGCTACAGCCTTACTGGGATTAGTATGGCTGCAATCTCGTACTCGTACACTGCGGAACTGGCCTGGAATTTCAGCGCCTAAAATGCCACCCGTTTCCTGCAGGACTGACGGCTGCTTGTGAAGACAAATTTGAGTCCTGCTTGTCAATGTGTCGAGCCAGCGGTATAGCTGAACTCGCTTTTGTCTTGCTTCCTTAGACAATAGGAATACGCTCCAGAGGGAGTTTTGCGTTCTTTTTATCGACATGCGAATCTGTTCGGTCATCCGCGGACCCCGTCGGCTGATCAGCCACCACGACTCGTATAGATTAGTTGCCCACCATGTCGAACTTGAGTTCATTAAAAACAAAGTGACATTTGAGACAACATCTTAATATGAAACGAAGACCCTGGACCAGCATCTCTCCAGGGGCTGTCGGCAGCTGAAGTTGTGACTATAAGAACCTCATGCCTGCTGATGCTGAGGTTAGTTTGCTCATCATCCTACACTCATTTGACATCAGACCGATTACACTCTTTCTGTCGTTTTTCCTATCACTATCGTTGATCATGCACTCCTTTGCTTCTCTCCTCGCCTACGGCCTAGCCGCCGGTGCCACCCTCGCTTCTGCCTCTCCCATCGAAGCCCGGGGAAGCTGCACCTTCACCACGGCTGCTGCTGCCAAGGCGGGCAAGGCGAAGTGCTCTACCATCACCCTTGACAACATCGAAGTGCCCGCTGGAACCACCCTGGACCTGACCGGTCTCACCAGCGGTACCAAGGTCGTCTTCGAGGGCACCACGACCTTCGGATATGAAGAATGGGCAGGCCCCTTGATCTCCATGAGCGGCAAAGATATTACCGTCACTGGTGCCTCAGGCCACCTCATCAACTGCGACGGTTCGCGGTGGTGGGACGGTAAGGGGACCAGCGGAAAGAAGAAGCCCAAGTTCTTCTATGCCCATGGCCTTGACTCCTCGTCCATTACTGGATTGAATATCAAGAACACTCCCCTTATGGCGTTTAGTGTTGAGGCGGATGACATTACTCTGACTGACATTACCATCAACAATGCGGACGGTGATAGCCTGGGTGGACACAACACTGATGCGTTTGATGTTGGTAACTCTGTTGGTGTCAATATCATTAAACCGTGGGTCCATAACCAGGATGACTGTCTTGCGATCAACTCTGGCGAGGTAAGCAGCTTGCACATATATTTGATTTGCATGTATGTTGATATTCTATAGAACATCTGGTTTACCGGCGGCACCTGCATTGGCGGCCACGGTCTCTCCATCGGCTCTGTCGGCGACCGCTCCAACAACGTTGTCAAGAACGTCACTATTGAGCACTCCACCGTGAGCAATTCCGAGAATGCCGTCCGAATCAAGACCATCTCTGGTGCTACGGGCTCTGTCTCTGAGATTACATACTCCAACATTGTCATGTCCGGCATCTCCGATTACGGCGTCGTTATCCAGCAGGATTACGAGGATGGTAAGCCGACGGGTAAGCCGACGAACGGTGTCACTATCAAGGATGTGAAGCTGGAGAGCGTGACTGGTACTGTGGATAGTAAGGCTACTGATATCTATCTTCTTTGCGGATCTGGTAGCTGCTCGGACTGGACTTGGGACGATGTGAAGGTCACTGGGGGGAAGAAGTCTAGCGCTTGCGAGAACTACCCTTCGGTGGCTTCTTGCTAGGTTAGTGGATTGGTTGATTGTAGCACTTGCTAATATTTAATTGCTTTAAGGGGTTAAATGAGATTTGGGATAGCCTTGGAGAGAAGAGATGAGGTCTATTAAGCTTCAGTGGTGGCAGCGTGTATAGCTATATACAATGGTATTTATCGTATATCTTTACAGACCAAATACTCGGTTAAGAGACCTTGCCCTCAGCCACAAATAACCAAGTTCCTCGGCAGCTACTAGGCTCCATGAAACCCTGCCTGGTCTTATTTCTTTGCAGATAGTTCCCTTCGTAATTCAAGATGGTATGATGAGTTACGAGGCAAGCAAATTCACCGCTACTCCAACCCGCGCATAAAGCATACGCCAGAAGTGCAAGGGATAAAGACAGCCAGCTCTTTATCGTTGCGAAAGTAACTCTGCATAATCCAGTTTCTGACATAGTATAGTCATCTCTTCTACATCTTAGCAAATTCCCTCTCCATAAACTCCCTCACAGTAATAAGCGTCTCCCTCCCCTTTCCCCCCTTGGCCTTAAACGCCGCCTTCTTCAACGCCGCAGCAGTCTGAATCTCCGTAGGCCCATTACCAAAGTACTCCCCATCCCTGAACTGCGAATAGATAAAAACATCCCGCTCCTGCTCCCGCCAATACTCCCCCTTCGTATTCATATCGTTCGGGTCCGCCAGAACCTCATACCGGGCTTTCTTGCCAGTCACTATACCCATCACCGTCAGCACCCACCCCAACCACTCATCATAGAACAGACCAAGATACGAACTCACCAGAAACAAACGTATTCACCACCTCCGCCGACGAAACAATATCACTCGACCCCTGAATCAGCCGTCTATTCCACCGCAACGGATTAACAAAAACCCCATGAACCAAATCCCCAAAGTCATCTTTCATACTGATCCAAGGGAAATCCTCTTTCCCGCCCCAGAAGGGCGTCTTGTATGTTAGATAGCCCTCCGAGTCGGGGAATGTGGGCCATCCGCCGAATAGGTCGGCGTAGTCTGGCTCGAGCCAGTTCTCCATGAACCACGCGGCTACGATGGGGGTTACGGTTTTGAAGCCCTTTGTGGTGTAGGCTTGTCGTTCGACTTGGATTTTTACTGTGTTCTCTGTCATAAGTCTAGTCAATGGAGGTGATAAATGGTTTGTGGATACTCACAATCAAGACCAGGACATTTCACTGCCCCATTGGTCATTTCTGAGATCGCAAGGCCGGAGCTATATACGAGATGCTGCACGCCGGATAAGGCTGCGCATTCGATGATGTTGCTGCCTAGGTCGGCATCGTTGAGGCCTTTGGCTTCTAGTTCCTAAGATATACCTTAGTTAGCATCATTGCTTCAGTCATATAAGTAGAAGTAAGACAAACCGGATCCTCCGAATTCGTATTCACAAACGCCCCCCAACTACCCGAGAACGCCTGCTGGAGTTCCTGTCGGTTGAACCCATCGGCTTTGACTAGCTCGGCGCCCAGGGAAGCCAGCTCTTTGGCTTTGCTTGACGATGGGTTCCTGGTTATGGCGCGGACGTGAAAGGTAGGGTTTTGTACGAGCGAGCGCACGACGGAGCTGCCTTGGCGGCCTGGGTGGGTATGCAGTTAGTTTGGGTATGGAAAAGATGAGGGTAAGGGGGGTTAAGTACCGGTTGCACCGAAGACGGTGATGGTTTTAGTCTCGATTGTCATGGTAGAGAGTGTTGGGTTGTTGGGTTCTACGGTGGGGAAAATATGTGGGATTCGGGGATAGTTACTACTATATGAGATGTATATATCTGTCTTAGCTATACGGCAGATGGGTGGTGACGTTGCAGATGTCCATTGAGCCTGGGCTTTCACCGCTTCTGCTTGGTGCAAACTTCTAGATTGTTGGATTGTCTCATCTACAATCTGGCCATGGGCTCCATGTAAATGCCGATAAAGCATGGAATTCTATCATCATATGACAATGTGCCTGTTAAGCGAGGGGGACTGACAAGCCTGCTCGACTTACCTACCAGGTACAGCAGTCTGGACAGTCAGACGCACAAAACCGGGTATAGTTTCTTGCGTGGCAAGCAAAC